TTCAGAAATTATTCATGAAAAGAATGTCGTAGACAGATTGCTTTCACATAGCCATGGACTTTGTGCTTTGGGGATGGGAAGGGCCCAGGAGAGACAAGTGAGGACCCTTGACCATCCTGAGCTCTTCTTTCCCTGCCTGGATCAGGGACTACAGGGGGCTGACCTTCTTCACTGAGTCTGGGAATATTGTCTAAATGCCAAGTCCATAGGGTGCAGAGCTACGGCCTCTTTTTCTGGCTGAAAGTGGTAGCTAAGGAGCCTCTGAACATCTCTCGAGGCTGTGTAATAGAAGAGCTTAGTCAAATAGTGGTTCCTCTGTTATCAGCACCTTTAATCCTACACATCATTGGTGAGCAGAGTACTGGGTGCTGGGTGCTACATACCCCCTTTCCTGTGCAAATTAGCTTTTTCTTTCTTTATTTTTTACTTATATATGATAGCAGAATGCATTACAATTCTTATTACACAGATAGAGCACAAGTTTTAATATCTCTGGTTGTATACAAAGTATATTCACACCAATATGTGTCTTCATACATGTACTTTGGATAATAATGATCATCACATTACACCATCATTAATAACCCCATGCTCCCTCCCTTCCCCTTTAACCCCTCTGCCCTATCTAGAGTTCATCTATTTCCCCATGCTCCCTCTTCCTATCCCACTATGAATCAACCTCCTTATATCAAAGAAAACATTTGGCATTTGTTTTTTGGGATTGGCTAACTTCACTTAGCATTATCTTCTCTAACTCCATCCATTTGCCTGCAAATGCCATGATTTTATTCTCTTTCATTGCTGAGTAAAATTCCATTGTGTATATATGCCACATTTTTTTTAATCCATAATCTATTGAAGGGTAGTGGGATGACTCTCATAAGAAGTAAAATTGCTTGTTTTCTTATCTATTTCCTCCATTAGTCAGGAGATGATTAAGACATTGTACTAGATATTGTATTCAGAATACCTGTAAAGTCAGAATGCTTAGCCACCCCCAGCCCCCCACCCCTTGTCCCAAGTCCTACAGATGAAACCCAGGGACTCATGCATGATGGGCAAGAGTTCTACCACTGAGCTACATCCTAGCCATTTTTATTTTTTTTTGAGACAGGATCTCACTAAATTGTCCAGGTGGCCTCAAATTTGCAATTCTCCTGCCTCAGTCTCCTGAGTGCCTGGGATTAGGAATTATAGACCTATATCACCAGGCCCAGCTATGTGCTTATTATTTTGAAGTTTATAAACTAGAATTGGTTGTAATGAACAATATATTTCAGGTTATAATATATGGAGACATTGCTTATATACTATTTTAAATTTTTTATATAAAATACAGATGACTAACTTTTAATCAGATAATTATCAATATGAAGAATGATAATTTACTTTTAAAAAGTATCTCTTTAATATCTATAAAAATGCATATAAATGTAAAAATGCAGTAATTTATACATTGACTTAACATATTATTGATAACCTATGATGAATCAGAAACAATCCTAGACTATTAGCATACATCAATGAACAACACAGCAAGTCTTTTAACTCTCTGGTATCATTATTCTTCATGTTATACTGATTATATAAATTAGATAATTATTGTTTGGAATTTTGTTGTTGTTGTTCTTAATTAGGTTGGTTTGTTTTTCATCTGTTGCTGCCGTTAGTTTTTTTTTTCCCCCAATCTAGGATCCAACCCAGAGCCTCACATATCTCATGCATGCCTAGCAAGAGCTCTTCCACTGAGCCACATCCCCAGTCCCTCTTACATGAGTATTTAATTAAGGGTATTTTTCTCTGAATATATGTTCTCTCCCATACATTATCTTGAATTGCCAAGGGTTTTTTTTTTTTCAGTTTGCAAACCATTTTTGTGATTACTCTTGGATTGTTTTATCTTAGACAAAAGACCAAAAAAATAAATAAAATAAAATAAAAAGAAGAAAAAGAAAAAAATGAGGGAAAAAAGGTGAAAGTTTATGTTCATAGAAAATAAGAGTCATTGTGCAGAGAAAGTCTTTCTTTTGGGGGCTCTGAATTGATAGTAAGAAAAAGCTTCTTATTACTGCCTGAAAGGTGGTCTGTCATTACTGTTCTCTGGTTGTATTTAGTAAGCTGGTCCTTCTTCCTTGAGTCAATTTATCCATTGTCTTATTCCTAGTACTCATTGTAGGAGAGGAAAGGTCTTTTTTTCCCCCTCGCCCATGACTAAATTTATGGCTGAGGCACCTGTAACAACAATAAAGGAAAATCACATACTTCCATTTAATATAAGTTTTGTGTGTCAAAAGAGACTTCATAAGAAAAAGAAGATCCAAAGAAGCAAGGAAATCCTTGTATTTTTATGTTTATATTTGTTAAAGAGTAGAGAGTCATTGGTAAATACAATTGGTATCAAGGTCATACCTAAAATATGGTACCCTGGCATACTGAATATTTTAAGCTAGAGGGAAATCAAGAAAACTACAGAAGCAGGCAGGTCTTGCCTGCCTCCCCTCTCCTGGGCTACATAGAAAGTGAAATTCTCCCCTTTTTTCCTACCTGATGCAGCCCATAAATTCTAGACTATCACTTTCTGAACTTCTCCTTCCCCTTCTCCCCTGAAGACCCACAGTTGACAGTGTCCTGCCCTATACCTAGAAGTAGAGAATGTCATAAAAAGACAGAAAAAAATCTGAACAAACAGGAATTTCTGATCTCTCCTCAGTCTATTACCATTAGCTGCTACCCTCTTGCCTTTCAATCAAACTTCTGCATCACTATCACAGTTTGCCCTATGTCTGTGGGTCTTCATTTTGGAAGGCTCTTGTGTAGTTTAAAACTAGTATGCTTTTCTTTCATTGATTTTGTTGTAAAATGTTGTGAAATGAATTTTTTGATGAGTGAAGAAAAGGTAATATTTTTTTCTCCCCTACATCGGACAAACAGAATTTGATCTAATGATAAAAAACTGGGAGGGGGTATTTAGCAAGGACTGTTTGTTTAGAATCTCTTGGTGTTTCTGTCTTCAGAAATAAGTATGTTCCTTTCCTCTGGATTTTGGAAGAGTACCTGTCAAATTTTATGATCCGTATCAAGGAGAAGATCAAAACCAAGTTGAGAGTGATTGTCCTGCTTCTGCTGTTTTCTCAAATGCCAACAAGCCACATTTTGGAGAAGGATGTCCTGAATCACTCTGTTTGCCAAAGACTATGTTACTGACTTGGACAATTGGTGAATATTGACTTACACACTACTACTTTGCAACAGGTCTGCAAGAAGTTGGCAAGACTTCTGTGGTAGACTGGGCAAGGAGGAGAAATTTATTTATTCTCCAATGAGCTCTCTCAGATTTTGATTAGAGTTTGACAGTGAGAACTGCAGAGTCCTGGGTATATCATCTTCCCCCAAACCTCTGCATCAAGAGATGTGAACAGCTTTAGCATGACTTCCAGCCTTGTTCACAAGATGACTCCTTTCAGCTTTCTTGAGGAAGCTCTCTTTATGCTAAGGAGAATTTACTTTTCCTTCTATTTAAAATTTGGTGATAGACAGATAGCCCCTGAATCTATTCTTATGATAGTTATTTTAGAAGACTTTCAATACTAAATTTATTTTCTGCCCTTTCTGATGTAAATCTACCACACAGAACAGTATTTTCAAGCATCCGTTTCTTTGAAATGTATTCAGTATTCAGGAAGATAATTCTTACTCGTTCTCCCAGTCACTCTGGGAGAATAAGAGCCAATTTAGATGGTGGGCACATTGCTTCAACTTGCACCACTACCTCATATCATAAAGGCATAAGAGATTTTTTTCTCCTCTGAATAAGTGTTAATTAACAAACCCTAGTCACACTGAGTTTCACCCCAGTGCCTTTTCCTTAGTACACTTAAGTCATTCAAAAGTCTTCAGACTTATTTTGGGGAAGTTCAGTTCAGTTCCGTATTACTGAAATCTGTCCTCATTACTTTAAAGTCTGGCTTTGTTGATCTGTAGTCAACTGTCTGTCCCCTACATTTTGCTTATTTCAGTCTGGTGTGTGGGTTGGGTGCTTAAGTTGGCAGCAATGATGAATGTGTTCATTTGATTGATTTTGAGTACTACAATGGAAATTTGGAAAGGGAAAAAAATTAGAAAATTATGATAATATTTCAATCCCAGAATGCTCCATAAGCAATTACTTGGCAATATTAATGTACTGAATGAGGAAAGAAGGTAGTGTAGGATAGCCAACAAGATCATGAGTTTTGCAGCAAAAGGATCTGGTTCAAGTCTTTGCTCAAATTTTAAAAATTAGCTTCTTAAGCCCCAGCAAAGGACTACATTTTTAATGTCTCATTTTCTTCCTTTGAAAATAGGAATTATAATACTACATAGAGTTTTTGGAATGCTAAGATTGAATAGGAAAGCATATGTGATATTCAGTACTTAGAACATAGTCAGTGCTCAATGAATACTTACTGCTTTGTATTTTTCATCTCTGATGAATCCCAAAGAGAACTGTTTCCTCTCTTGTTACAATAATGCACCTCCCCATGGCATCATTCTTATCCTTATCTATACGTTTTCTCCACGAGAAAAATGAACTTCTTCACCATTTTTCCTTTGATCTCCAGTTCCTGCTGAATGGAACTTTGAACATTTAATAAGTGTTTGCTGGGTGAAAAAAAATACATGAGTACGTGCATGCATGTACATTTATAACAAAATGATAGTAACCCCAAGGTATCAAATTATTTAATAGTTTACATAGGCCAAGTCAATTAAGGGCGTCAAATTCAGTTTTGAGAATCATGAAGGTGGCATAAGCCTTCATGCATTTGTCTTATACTTGATCTGAAACAAGGACATAGCTATTACGTGGCTTTTTAATTTCATTGAAGTTTTTAGACCCAGAAATAAAACTTAAAGGTAAAAACGGGAAATTACTACAGCAGAATTTTCATTTCCTGCTTTTGGGTATGTGGAGAAGTAAATCTCAACTTGTTAAACCTCAATAATGCTTACACCACATGATTTGACTTATAGGTCCTCTTTTGCCCATGGACAGTCATTTGGAGAGGCAAAAGGAAATAACTATCTAATGCAGTGTCTTTTTAGAGAACATATAAAACAATGGAATTCCGCTCTGATTTAGAAAATTTGGACGAAGATGGGTATACTCAATTAGACTTCACCTCTAGAGGCATCACCAGAAGACCTGTGAAAGGTATTTTTTTTCCTTTTGACTTTAGTACTCTCATTCTCATTGACTAAAATACTAAAAGTAGGGAAAATCTGAGACTCATTGATATGTTTTTAAAGGTTTTTAGAAGTCACAGCAAATAACTTGAAAATTCATTAAGGCTCTTTCATGGTAGGTATTCAGGGATTAATTCTTATATCTAAATTAATTTGTTTGATGGAAGAAAATGAAATTTGTTTGTTCTAAACAAAAGACATTTCATCACTGGGGAGTTGAAAGTTAAGTGTGAAGCTACACAAATCTGAAGGATTTCAATAGATTTACTTGTTCCTGGTTTGATAGAAAAGAATCAATTGTAGGAGGGAGGTCCAGGAATCCTATAGAAATGCTTATGAATAACATCAGAAAAATAGGAGACTAGAAAGAGAAGAATGGAAAGATGAGAGACACATGACAAAACTAAAACTCTTACAATTTTATGGTGAAGACCAGAGGGAAGTTGGAAGTTGTAGGGTTTGAAATTTCAAAACTGATTTTTTTTTTTTTTTGTGATAAGAGATCGAAGGGAGTTCTTGGAATATCAGGGAAGGAAAACATATATTAGATAAAAAGCTCCTATGGACATGAATCTAAACAAAAATGCAAATGAAAGGAAATATTGAGAAGGACATTAAAGGATCTGCCTTTTCACAAAATGAGTGGCTTTAGTGTCCCTTATGAGTCTCCTGTTTGACAATTCTATGAATTGCTCTTAGCACATTGCCAGTGAGAAGCAGAGAGATGTTTTTGGTGTGTTGATGTTGATACAAAATCAGTTCCCTGTTATCTTCAAGAAAGACAATTCATGGGTTTTGACATCAGATTTTGTTTTCTTCTGCTTTCTGGTATTCGCACTGGTCAGCTATTTTCCTCTCATCGCCACTTATGAAATTCTTTTTTATGCAACTTGTGACAAAAAGCAGAAAATTTGGATGAGGGAAGAGATAGTTAGGCAATATGTTTATGTGTGTGTGTGGACAAATAAAAAGAGACCTGTATGTGCTTGCTAAAGGAAGTGCTTCTACATATTTTAGGTCATTTATTTCCCACAAGAATCCTGTGAGGTATTATTATCCCAATTTCAAAGAGAAATGAAAAATAAAAGGGAAAATAATATGCCTAAGTCATTCATTAAATAAATGAGAAAGAAAGTTATCCTTGGTAATCAGGGCTAGGTTCCCTATATTAAGCTGTTTCCTCTAAGAATGAGTGGGATTTCAGGGACCTGAGCAGTGTCAAGACCTATGGACAGTTTCAGTTCCAACAACTGAAGAAGTATCCTAAAGATGGGGAAAAATGGAAACTCACTCTAAATGTCTAGATTATGTAGGCATCAGTAATAAATGATTCTCTTACGAATTGGCCAGGAGTTTAATGAACTGTGGGATTAAAGCATTCTGTCCTCCATCATAGTCTTCATTCAATTTCTGCTCCCTCTGGCTCCTTAGGTGATCAGAAGGCTTCTCCTCCTTGGCGGCTGATTGCTGTGACAATCAGTGTTATCTGCTTGATAACACTGGTGATAGCTGTAGTTCTGGGTGTCCTAGGTGAGTACTAGGTGGTGAGGTGCTGAGAGCCACGGCTGAGTCTGTATGGCCCCTGGCATTTTGCCAACAGTATTGATTGACAGGCGCCTCTGCCTGTCTGCCTCTGCCGCAACTTTTGAGTTCTCGCACTATTTTGGAGTTCTCGTGGGGATTTCCGGGGATTCCCCGAGAGTTCCCATTGGTTGGGGAAGTGCAGGAGGAGGGATTTCCGGGAGAGATAGTTCCGGCTGGGGGTTGCTGGACAAGCCTCATGGCGCGTTCGGGAGGATTCCCCGGGAGCTGTGTGAAGTGTTTTCCTGCAGTTTAAAAATAAAGTTTGTTCCTGCTTCAGTGGCTCGTGATTTGTGCCCAGCCAGACTGCGGCAGTGAGGTTTGCAATAGTCACAGGCAGTATTTAATGTGTGCTAGGCATTCTTTTAATGACTTGGCATATATGATCTAATTTAGTCTGTACATCGACCATATTGAGTTGTTGCTATTAATTCCCATTTCACTTATAAGGAAGTAAGAGAATGGGAGATTATTTTACTTTTACAGGATCATAAGTTAGTTAGTTAGTGGGGTGTTGATTAGAAATTTAGAAGTTCTGTCTAAAAAAAATGCATAGTCTTAACTACATTGCTTTACTATCACCCTGGAATAGCTGGTTTGAAAACTGTGAAATTTGAAGGATAAATTTAATGGAAGGAAATCTGTGGAGCTGGAGAAAGAAATACAATATGATGTTATCTTTCTAATGAAAAAAATTCACTGAAGGGATTATATGCTATTTTAATGAGTCTCATGATTGATGGGACTTGTTTTATATCTGATCATTAATATAAACTCCTTTGAATATACCAGGAATTGCCTGAGGCACTTAATGCATTCTAAGTAGATACTTAGTGATGGATGAATAGATTTTTTTTAGATTTTATATCTCATGAATTCTGTTACCATAAAGTATTATTATTCCTTCAGAGAGTCTTCATGATGTTTCTTAATTAGTCAATTTTACTGAGTACATTTTATGTTATAGGTGCTGAGCAAGTTCTCCAGGAGCTTTCATTTATCTGTAATAGAAAAAAAAAACCAGAAGATTTATTACTGTTTCAAATCTCTCATGGTTTTAGTTGACTCTTTTTCGTTTGCCTCTAGCTGATCTGTCATCTCTTTCCTCTGCATCTGCTTCATTTTTCTTTCTCACTATTTCTTTATAGAAGTTATTTGTTTTTTTTCCTATTTCATCTATCAATCAAATATATCACTTTACCATTCCACTAACAATAAAGCATCTATTTGTCATCAAAGATCTATCCCTTTATATTACAATAAAATTTGAATTTCAGAATTTTAATTTTCAAACATAGCAGAATAACTTTTTTTTTTTCTGTTACTCTTATTGTTCTTGGAATATAAAGCATTTAGGAGATCCAATTCAGGCAGCGACCCATTGGAAAGAGAGAACTTTACATTAAGAAATAAAGAGAATCACAGTCAACCCACAAAATCATCTTTAGAAGAGAATGTGGCTCCTACCAAGACTCTCAAAACCACAGGCAAGGGCAGAGTTAAAACTTTAATGAAATCCTTGATTCAAGATGATTAATTTTTTGGTGCTAAGCCTGGGGTAGGTGGAAGATGAGATAGTACTGATCAGTACTATCTCAGTATAATGCATCACTGCCAGATCTATAATAAAGCAATAAAGTTATTTCATTAATACCCATTTGTATGAACACTTCTATGTTGAACTTTTTTTTTTTTTGAAATCAGTAACTGATTTATCACTGGCTATATGTTTAGACCTTCAGAAGATTGTATAATTGATGTGAAAGAAAAAATATGTTCGTTCCTCCTTAGGAAAATGATATATTTAAAGTGATACTATTAAAAGAGGAAATAGGATATCAGGACAGAAGAATGGCAAGGAAAAGTAAAAGAGCAAAAATGTTGGCAAGAAATAAGGCGCTAAGTTAAAAAATACAAAAGTATTAGCACTAATAATATATTCCTGAAAACTGATTAAATGTGTTTGCCTTTAACCATATGACTTCATTACAATTTTATACATGGACGACCTTTACTTTTAATTGCATCATAATCGACAATGACTATATTTTCAGTTCAAGTTCCAATCTCTGGACTCATACTTCCTGACTTTCTTATCAAACAGCTGATAATACTCAATGTAGACACTCTGAAATGTAAATAATTGCCCTTAAGCTTTTCCACTTTGGAAAGCGACAATTTAAAGTGGGTTTCTCATCATAAAATAACTTAAATCACATGAAATTACTATGAATCCTAATGATTGACTTTGAGTGCATTTATTATAGGGGGTTGAAATAGAGAAAGGGAGTTCTGGGCTAAATTTGAATTTAAAGGAAGACAAAAAGGAAAGGATGGTTAACTCTCTGAAACATTGTATATAGTTTTTCAGATAATTTCTAAATTTTAAGTGAATGAGAGGATTTGAACGTATTCTATAAAATCATATCCTTATAGGTTTGAATTGAAAATGAAAGATATTAATGGCAATTCATTGATTAAGTATTCATGAGATAAATTGTGTTTGCATTAGAAAAAGGAGTTGGTATACTATGAGCTTCATGGTACTTACTATCTCTTATTTCCAGGACTCTTTTCTAGCCCGTGTCCCCCTAAGTGGATCATACATGAGAAGAGCTGTTATCTATTTAGCATGTCACTAGATTCCTGGCAAAGAAGTAAGATCCGATGCTCTCAGCTGGGCTCTCATCTCCTGAAGATAGACAGCTCAAGTGAATTGGTAAGTGTAGACTTCAGCTGTAATTATCAGTAGTCTTGATGAAACACGAAAACAGAGAGAGAATCCAGGTAATAATTCTTTTTCTTATGTGAAACTTACTTTCAGAATTCTTCATAGTTGTAATATTAGCATTCATTCAGCATGTAAATTACATATTATATGCTTTTAAAAAATTAATTAATATAAAACAATCATCTTTCACTTTAAAATAAATTTTTTCAAATACATTCCATGTTTTAATGACTACAACAATCAGTCCTCTATTAATTTTTGTGGGTTTGTATTTCAATTTCTAAATTTAGTGGAGAAAACAGAAAAATTTCCCCATCATCATGATTTTCAAGGAAAATAGCAACAATGATAATATATATTTATAAATTATCTGCTCTTTGCAATATACCAGAAAAGGCAAAAAATGTTTAAAAAGTAATAAATGTGTATTACTGAGCTTATTTAATTTATTAAGAAAAAACCAACAGTTTTAAGAAATCAATATCTGATATAGATAATAAATAATATAGGAGTTTAGAGATATCTTTGAACATATAAGAGATTTTAAAGTAAAAGGGAGACAATCTGTCATGAATGAAAGGTAGAACTCAGATGAGTTATGAAAAGGAATTAATAGGAAACGTTCTACTTTATAAATCTAAAGTTATCCATAACCTTTACACCGATTTTCATTACTTTCCATTTTTTTTTGTTTCTGTAATGCCAATCCCAATAGTTGCTAATGAAAGTAGGTACATGGTAAAGTGAGAGCATTGTATTAGAAATCTGTGTGGCTATTAGATCAATCTGTAATTGATAATAAATCATCTTGTATTTGTCAGCAATTCATATATTTTCAGTGAACCACAGATTATTTATTCATAAAATCTGAAATGGCACTAAATTAATTTTAAGGCATTATCCAATTCCGAGAAGCATTTCTTTTTTCCCTTTTAAGTTAATGTTTATGATTCTAATTGTTAACACATATTAATTATCCAAATTAATGTATTCACTGTGATACTTCTAATTATGGATATGTATGTTGTGCATTGATCTGTTTCATCCATCATCCTCTTACCCTTGCCACAGCCAACACCATTCTCAGTAATCCCTCTTGTGCTCACAGTCCTTGTTTTCTGTTGGTGTTTCTGTGCATGAGAGGGAATGCACAATATTTTTTTTTCTATTTGATTTATCCTGCTTAGTATGATGTCTTTTATTTCCTTCCACACGTTGCAAATGACAGGATTTCATTCTTCTTTATAGTTGACTGATATTGTATATCTATACCATATTTTTTTTATCCATTCATCTGTTGATGGGACCTAGGCTAATTCTAAATCTTATATAATTAATTAAATTATATCTTATAATCATATATCTTGTGAATAATGCTGCAATAAACATGGACATGTAGGTATTTCCTTTGTAAGCTGATTTCATTTCCTTCAGCTATACACCCAGGAGTGGAATAGCTGTTTAATACAGAAATTTTATTTTTAGCTTTTTGAGGACTCTTCATACTGTTTTTCATAGAAGCTGTAGTAATCTGCATTCCTATCAACAGTGTATAAGGGTTCCTTTTTTCCTATCACTTCATCATTACTTGTTATTTTTATTTTTTGATAATAACCATTCTTACTGGGGTGAGATGGTGTCCTTTATAGCCTTTGATTTGCATATCCTGGATGGCTAATGATATTAAGCCTTTTTTTCATATAGTTTGAAGTAATTTGTGTTTCTTTTGAGAAGTTTTTGTTCAGATCATTTGTCCAATTTTAAGATAGATCACTTGATTTTTGTTTAGTTTTTGAGTTTTTTGTGTATTCTAGATAACCCTCTGTCACATGAATCCATGACAAATATTTTCTCCCATTGTGTAGTCTGTCTCTTAACTATGGATAGTTTTTTGTTGTTGTTGTTGTTTTGTTTGTTTTTTTAATTTGCTGTGCAGAAGACTTTTTAGTTGAATGTCATTTTATTTATCATTTTTTTTTTTTTGCTTTTGTTTTCTGAGCTTTTGGAGTCCTATGTAGAATATCACTACTGCAATTGATATCTTGAAGTAGTTCCTCAATGTTTTCTTCTGGAAGTTTCAGGTCTTACAGTAAGGTCTTCGATCCATTCTGAGTTGATTTTTGTACAGGGTAGAGATAGGGGTTTAGTTTCAATCTTCCACATGTGGATATCCAGTTTTCCCAGTATTGTGTACTAAAGAGGCTGTACTTTCTCCATCGTGTTTCTGGCACATTTGACGAGAATTAGTTAGTGTTTTAGTCAGCTTTCTGCTGTTTTGACTATAGAACCTGACCTGAACAATTTTAAAGGAGGAAAAGTTTATTTAGGTGCTCATGGTTTTAGAGGTCTTAGTCCATGGAGGGCCAGCTTCATTCCTTGAGACTCATGGCAGAAGAGTATGGCAGAGGAAAGCAGCTTACCATCAGAAGCAGATAGAGAGACTCTACTCTCCAGTTACAAAATATATATTCAAAATATATGCCATGCCCCCAGTGACCCATCTCCTCCAGCCATACCCTACCTGCCTTCAGTTACCACTCAGTTTATCCCATCAGGGATTGGCCCACCGATTAGACCAATGCTATAATCCAATCAATTTTCTCCCAACCTTCTTGTGTTGTCTAACACACGAACTTTGGGGGACACTTCACATCCAAACTGTAACATTTGGCTATAGGTATGTGGATTAATTTCTGGTGCCATAGCATGCTTCTATTTTTACTGACTCTTTAGTCTGTCCTCCAATAAGATGTTATGATGCCTCTAGCTTCTCTCCTTATACTCAAGATTGCTTTGGATATTTGGGAGATTTTTTTTTGCTTCAATATAAATTTTGGAATTTTTTTCTCTAGTTCTGTAAAGAATGTCATTGATAGTTTGACGGATAGTGCATTGAATCTGTAGATTGCTTTCAGTGTATGACCATTTTGACAATAATAATTCCTCCAACCTATGAATATGAAGTGTCTTTGCATTTTTTAGTGTTTTCTTTGATTTCATTCTTCAGTATTTTTTAATTTTCATCATAGTCATCTTTCACTTCCTTAGTTAAATTTATTTCTAGGTATTTAGTTTTTGTATGAGAACCATGAATGGAATTTCATGACAATTTTCTTAGCAAATTCATTATTGGCATATAGAAAAGCTATTGATTTTTGTAAGTTGATTTTGTATCCTGCTACCTTATTGAATTCATTTATCTGAGTCTTTTGGGGGAGTCTAGGTTTTTCTGTGTATAGAAATCATACCATCTGAAAACAGGGATAATTTGACCTCCTTTCCTTTGTATGTATTTTCTCTTTTTCTTTTTTTCTCATCGTTCTGGCTACAATTTCTAGTACTATATTGAGTAAGAGTGATCAAGGTGGACAACCCCCTCCTGTTCCTGATCTTAGAGGAAATGCTTCGAGGTTCTCCTCATTCAATATTGTATTGGCTATGTGTTTGTTATGTATAGACTTTATGCCATGGAGGTATGATCTTCCAGTATCTCATGTGTTCAGGTCTTTTATCCTTAAGAAATATTGAATTTTATCAAATGCTTTTTCAAAATCCACAGTAGTAATCATGGTTTTTATTTTGAATTATTTTTATGTGATATATTACATTTATTTATTTGTGTGTGGTGAACCATGCTTGCATCCCTGGAATGAAACTAACTTGATCATGGTGAATGATCTTTTTTTTTTGTGTGTGTGTGTGTGTGTTTTAAATTTTTTTTCTTTTTTTTGTTGGTTGTTCAAAACATTACAAAACTCTTGACATATCATATTTCATACATTAGATTCATGTGGGTTATGAACTCCCATTTTTACCCCAAATACAGATTGCAGAATCACATCAGTTACACATCCACATTTTTACATAATGCCATATTAGTAACTGTTGTATTCTACTACCTTTCCTATGATCTTTTTGATATGCAGTGGAATTCAATCCGGTAGTATTTTGTTGAGAATTTTTGCATGTGTGTTCATCAGAGATATTGGTCTAGATTTATTTATTTTTTTTGTGTGTGTGACATTGTTAGATTTTAGCCTCTTTAGGGTGAGTTTGGAAGTGTTCTCTTCCTTTTAATTCTATGGAATAGTTTTAAAAGCATTAGTGTTATTCTTTAAAAGTTTGGTTACACTGGGCAAGGCAGAACATGCCTGTAATTCCAGTGACTCAGGAAACTGAGGCAGGAGGATTGCAAGTTTGAAGCCAACTTGGGTCACTTAGTAAGATCCTGCCTCAAAAAAAAAAAAAAAAAAAAAAAAAAAGACAGGTGATGTAGTTTAGTGGTAGAGTGCCCCTGGATTGAGTCCTCATTACTGCTAAATACATATATTCAGTAAGTAAGTTTGGTCGAATTTAGCAGTAAAGACATCCAGTCCTGGGCTTTTCTTTGTAGGTAGACTTCTTATTGTGCTTATTACGTTGTCGATGGTCTATTCAGATTTTCTATGTTTTGGATTCAATTTTGGTAGGTCATCAATGTCCATAAATTTATTCTAGACTTTCAAATTTGTTAGCATGTAGCTTTTCAAAATAATCTCTAATGATTCTTTGAATTTCTGTAGTATCAGAAGTAAAGTCTCCTTTGAAATCTCAAATTTTATTTTATTTGGGTATTCTGAGAAGCATTTCTTGACAAGATTAGTATCAATTTATGGAAATAATAGGGTCATATCTACCATGAAAATTGCCTACTAAACTTATCATTCTTGGATAAGCTTTGCCTGGTATATTGAATGGATGCAGTTTTCATTGACATTTTGAATCTATTATTTATTGAAATCATGAATGATGAAAGTATTTTTATGAGAAATTAAATGGAAGTGACTCTAAATAAAATAAACACTTTGAGACATTCAATGAAATAAAAATATTGGAATTTCTCTCTAGGTCCTTGCCATCTTATGCATGCATTCTTCACCAAAGGGATTCAATCAGTTCTTTTTTTTTTCCAAAAATCTATATTTTCTCTTTCTTTGCATTTTTTTTTTTTTTTGCATTTCTGTTTCATTCCAGGATTTTATAGAAAGCCAAGTGTCTTCCCAACCTGATCATTCATTTTGGATAGGGCTCTCTCGCCATCAGAGTGAAGAACCATGGCACTGGGAGGATGGATCCACCTTCTCTTCTAATTTGTAAGTGTCTGAAAAGAAAAGGTATCATCCACTTTCTCACAAAGATGAAAGTAAGTCATGCAGTTAACCTGATTTACCGGCCATGTTTTATAAAGAGAAAGGATCACAATGGTGGGGGGAGTGAAAAAGTGAGCAAGAAAAGACAGGAAGAAAAGAGGACTGCAGAATCAAAAAAATAGTTTCTAGTGCTACCAACTCAGGTGTTTCCTTGGCTCCTATAGGTAGAGGGTATTCCTTACATTTGTTTTAATTATGTCATTGTATTGTACTTTACCAGGTTTCAAATAAGAAGCACAGCTACCCAGGAAAATTTACTTCACAATTGTGGATGGATTCATGTGTCCACTGTTTATGACCAATACTGTTATGTGACCTCATTCAGTATCTGTGAGAAGAAGCTGTCGAAGTAAGGGGGAGGAGAAGTAATCAAAGGAGATAAGTATATGAGACTGTATGGATGGCAAAAACAGAAGAGTGATATTTGAGGTATAAATAGATGCTGAAAATGTTAAAAGTGCATGGCAAACTTAAATCTCAGCTGAGAAATAGGATATAGAGGCTGTGATTTCTGTACTTGTCAGCTCCATAGGGAGGCCAATCTTATGCTAGTGAACACAGTCCTACTCATGGAGTCAGGGCAGCTAAGCTTGAATTTTTGTTCTACCATTGCTAAGCCACAAGTCCTTGGTGATTTCAAAGGAATCTTCATTTTTGGCTCTACCAGAATGTTATTATTATTATTATTTTATCCTCAAAAAGTTCCAATGAGGGCTGGGGTTGTGGCTCAGTGGTAGAGCACTCAACTAGCATATGTGAGATGCTGGGTTCGATCTTCAGCACTATATAAAAATACATAAATTAAATAAAGGTATTGTGTCCAAATACAACTAAATATATATATGTGTGTATATATATATATATATATATATATATATATATATACACACACACACACACACACACACACACATATATATATATACTTTTTAAAGTGCCAATGGAGTGTCATTGTGTGTTTCCTTAATTTGTTCCTCAACTTCTACCAGTATATCATGCTTGGGTAGAAGGTAAAATGTAGTTCTGAATTACCTAAATAAAGAAATGGAAAAAAATCATCACTATAATCAGAGGTATCTTGTTATTTCTTAATATGATCATAATTATGATCATCATCACTAAAAACCAGCAACTGCAAGTAAATAACCCAGAGAGTATGCCATCCGTAGCTTTACTAATAGCTGTATAATGTGAAATTGGAGGGAAGATGGTCTTTATGAAAACTTTCTCCTTTTCAAATATTATAAATCAAAAAATAAATAATATCTGATAACAAATACAAAAGTAACCAATCTTATTGGCAGAAATATTAATACGTTGGAGAAAAGGTACATTATATTATTTTTATAATATACTGTTTTGCAATTTGTACCAATTCCTGATCACTGTAAAATATTATTGGAATGTAATTATATTTCATCATGTGATGATTTATTTATTTTCTTTTAAATTGTCTCATTGATGTTATTTATATTTTCAATGGGGATTTCTGTATTATTGGGGATATACAAAATTATTTGTAGCTTTCTCATGTTGATTAATATGGGAAAAGAAACTGTGCCGAATTTACTGAATTGTTTATTATACAGTGGTTAATTTTATGTAATGTAGATTTCATCTCAACTAAAATAAAATGCTTTGGCTTCTAAATTGTATGCCTCTGTGTAATAATCACTCTCACAAATTGCCTTCTCCTTAAAAGTGATGATAAATTTGATACTAGGCAAAGGGTACTTGTATTAGTATAATAGAAACTTCTGTATTAAAGCCTAAGTTTAGATTCTTAAAGAATTAAAAATCTGGGCCTGGGGCTGTGGCTTAGTGGTAGCCCACTTGCCTGCCATGCGTAAGGCTCTGGGTTTGATTCTCAGCACCACATATAAATAAATAAATAAATAAATAAATATCAACAACTTAAAAAAACATTAAAAAAATAATTAAAAAATCTAAAAGAAGACAGATTATTGTGAAGGTGACTATTGTATTTTACTATGCAAATTTGTATTATCACTATCTGGAAAAAAATAGTAGAGCTATCTAGAGATAATTTAGCCTGAAAGTATAAGAAACATCATTAACTGATTTAAACAGTTAATTAAAGCACAGAAGAGATTTGAAGAGAGGTCACATATCTTAATTTCAGTTTTGGTTTGAGTGAATCTTCCTGGGTCCCCAGGATGGGATGGATGAGTTTAAGAAATCATTATAAGCAAGGGAAATAATTCCGGATGCTGAAAATCAAGCTGTACTTACTAGAACAGATAGGCTAGGCAATTACCATGACTTCAAATATGACAAAAGTGATGGCATAAAATAAGATTATTGTAGGTTGTCCAAGGTGCACTATTCCTGACTTGTTAATACACATTTTATAGTGCAATTTACCTAGAAAAACACATCGAAATGAACAGGAAGCATTTACACTTTTCATGAGACACAGAAGGGGAAATAACTGCTACCTAGACCTAAGTCTGCAGGGTAAATTCAAGCTGAGCAGTGATTGGTTATTCTAGAGGAAACACCCTTTGAAAGGCCACCATCTGAGATTCAAGGTGGTGCAGTAGAGGAAGGCTGCATTTCCAGTTGCTCTGTGATTCAGGATTCATGGATGGAGATTACTACTTCTCAACAAGGTAGGTGAAAGAGGTATTTCACTAAAATTGAATACTGGACAGCCAGAGTATCTTAGAGACTCAAAAATTCAGGTACATTGATCAAAGAACAAGAAAGAACGTTGGAGCTAAGCAGTTGTGACAGCGTTAGTGGCAGCAGTGCAGCACTGTTTCACCGCAGAGGGGAGGGTCAGAGAGAAATACAACAGAAAAACCTGTAGATTAGAAAATGAGCCTGAATTTAGGTAATCCAGCAGCTGCGTAGCAAACTGGTATTTGAAAAGGGTTCTTTTCTTTTTCCCTCAACTGGCAAATGGAGGGCTGAGGTAGGAGATGTCTTGAAGAGGCTGTGCTGTAGCTTGCTGCTGTGTGAGCCTGTGAGATCATAGCAAACGTTGCCATCCTGTCTCAGCAAGCACCCAACATGGCCTAGGGGTACCTAGTGGAACAAGAGTCAAACAGGTACAAATAAGATTGTACCCAGGGGGATTCAATTCAGAAAAATGAAGGGGAGTGCAACTTGCTTTCCATTTGAGTCAGACCGCTCATGTCGCCAGCTTAAGTGGTTTGGAAATCTGAACAAGCGGGTGTGAATATACTCAGGTACTAAGCCTGGGAAAGTTGTGTTCATGGGTAGCAGAGTGTGTAGAGGATTGTCTCCCCTGTCCCATGAGGAGAATTCTTGCAAGGCTCCTGAGATCCAGGCTCTCAGCTGAGATGGGAATCTGAGTCCTAGGGGTATTTTGATCTAATCTTTCCAGAGCAGACATCACTCAACAAAGCCCCTGAGCCAGTTTAGATTAAGCCCTACTGCTGGAACTCTCATAGAACTCTGTACCAGCCCCACCCTGGGAGTGCACTGACCTGGTCTGTCTGGAAAAAACACCAATCTATAGGACTTCCCATTACATTCTACCTTAAACGGGTGAGAAGGGAAGCTAAGATCCCTTTTAACCAGCTTCAGTCTTAAACCACTCCACTGGCATCTCAGTGAGCAATACAAAAAGAGGAAAAGATTAACAACCCTCAGATCTTTCTCTCTGTCTCTCTGTACATAGCCCAAGAAAAAATGGAAAGAAGGACTGATGGGCATAGGCAATGACTGTCCATTATTGTCGACTGTTTTGACCACCTCTCTGGAGGAGAATTTTTTATTTCTCATTAAGAATCTTTTTTTTTCCGTGTGTGTGTGTGTGTGTGTGTGTGTGTGTCTTGATTTGTGGAGATATATATTTACATCTATATATCTATCTATAAACAATACATACATATTTATTTCTCTTTTTCACTCATTTTAGCATTTTAAAAAATATAGTTGCTTTTTCTTGCCTTGTCTTTTGAGGGTTAGAGGTGTTTCTGCTTTTGTTTTTGTTTTTTTTGTTTCTCTTTCTCTTATATCTTCTCCAACTAAAACCCAAATTCTCTTATTCTCTTTCTCTTTCTTTATGTTGTTTTCCCTATTTTTTCTCCTCCTTCTTTATAACTAGCACTTGCAATGTGTCTTCTGCATTGTCTGTTTACATTTTGACCACTCAAAATTCATTTCTATCTTCCTGTCATGTTTGCTTTTTTCAATGAACTATATTTTTACCATCTTTTAAAACAATTTGGTTTCTATAACTCCTGCCCTTACCATTCATATTATTTCAACTATTACTGCTATGGATGACATAGTTGACACCTGCTGTTCACTATAAGTCAGATCTAGTTTACAGTTATGGATTGTTTTTGTTGTTGACAATTTTTGACCTCACCATTTCTGTTTTTATGGTAATTAGTGTTGAAGAAGTCATAGTGGGCATTGTTTTCTTTTCTTTTTTTTTTAACATTATACATTATTTGCTTTGGTTGTTGATATTGCTTGCTTCCTCCTTTTCTGCAAGGTGGTGGGAATCTACAGGAACACTATAAAATTCACAGGGTAGACACTGCTACTAAACTAATCTCAGTCAAAAGACAGTGTACCTTGCTCCACACACAAGTTAATGACACTAAACTTTTTGGGTATACTCTAATACAAAGAATAAAAGAGACAAAACCCCAAACTAATGACCAGGCCCCAAATAGGTTACACTCATGGACATTTGTTCCTACAGCAAAAAGAGACAAAATTAATGCAAAGACTATGGATACCATGCCTATGAGGAGGTTTAAATCTAGATGACTGAAGGACAGTTTGGGAAGATAGGATTGTACCCTAAAAAGGCTCACCCATAAGTATGGAAGAGAAATCCATCCCAACATATGCCTTAAAACCAAACACAGTTATAGAAGAAATATGAAAAAAAGGTAACATGGCACCTCCTAAAGATCATAATTCATAATAAACTAGATGATATTTAAGTGGGTGAAATATCACACAAATAATTCAAACGAATGATTATAAAAATGATCCATAAAATTCTAAGAGAATACAGAAAAACAACTGAATAGATTAAGAAAGTCAGTTAAGGATATGAATGAAAAATTCAATAAGGAAATAGAGATATTGTAAAAGAACCAAACAAAAATCTTGGAAATGAAAGACAAAATAAATCAAACAAAATGTTCATTTAAAAGTCTCTCTAATAGAGTAGACCATGCTGATGGTAGAATCTGAGTTGGAAGACAACTAGGCCAACCTAGAACATTCAGGGAGTATTAAAAAAAATAAGTAACCATGATTTGAATATACAAGAACTCTGGGACAACATTGAGAGACTAAATTTAGGAATCATTGGAATTGAAGAGGGCTGTGAGAGTCAGACTAATCAAATGAAAAACCTCTTCAGAGAAATAACAACAATAACAACAACACAGAAAAACTTCTAAACCTTGAGAATGAGATGGACATCCAGATATACAACTCATTCAGACCCAAAATATATAAGATAAAAAAAATCTCTCTACAGCACATTATGATTAAAATGCCTGATAGAACAAGGAGAGAATTTTAAAAGCCCAATGAGAAAAACATAAGGTAAGATTTAGAGGCAAGCCAACCAGAACTACTTGTGATTTCTCAGCACAAACTCTAAAAGCCAGGAGGGCTTGGAAGGATATTCCAAATCCTGAAAAAAATAACTGTCAACCAAGATTGCTATATCCAGCAGAACTATTCTTCAAAATCAACTAAGAAAATAAAACCTTC